GCGGCAGGTAGGATCACCTGAGGTCAGGAGGTTCAAGACCAGCCTGAACCAACATGGTGAAACCGTCAACGCTCTCTTAAAAATTACAAATTAGCCAGGCATGGTGGTGGGGTTGCCTGTAGTTCAACTACTTGGAGCTGAGGCAGGGAGAGTCACGACCTGGGCTGGGAGGTTTGCAGTGAGCCAAGATCGCACCACTGCCCTTCCACTCTGGGTGACAGACGAGAACTCCATCTTCAGAAAAAAAATAAAAAAATAAATAAATAAAAAAACCTCAATGGAATGAGCTACTTCATTAGGACTGGTTATGAGGACCAGCCCAGTTATATAAGGCTTCCGGAACATTTTACAAAGATGTTCAGGAATTTCTTCTAGTCATTACTTTCTCAAATCTTATTAAAAGGCCCAAGCGTTACCACTGTGTCTTCTATCACTTTCGGTTTAGCGATTTCAACCAAAAAGAAACTCAAAGTTCTTAGTTAGTTCACTGGCGAGGACTGGGGCAGATTCTGCCAAAGAGCACTTCTATGAGTGAGGAGGCTTGGGCCAGATGATACTTCTTTAGAGGCAGTTAGAGCTCGGTGCCTGAGTGAGAAAACTGAAATTAGGACAGACGCGCAAGTTCAGTGGGCTGAGCTCTGGCCCAAAGGCGCCGCCAAACTCACAAAGGGCCACCCCACCGAGACCTGTCCTGCTCTTTTGTGCGACAGGATGTGGATCGAATGAGTTAGCTATGTTGAAGAAGATGGTACTGTAGGATTCCGGAGTACATCACTTACTTTTTGAGTCGGCTGTAAGTGAACTTCTTGGCAAGTGTTAACAGTCTGTAGGATTCTGTCTCGGTCCAAGACTAACTGGAAATACGTGGACCATCAAAGGCCACCGTGACCGTTCTGGGGACCCGGGTCCAGGTCCGGGGCAGCGACTGCCCTATTAGCAGCATTTGACAGGCCTACTATACACCTGGCGAAACACAAAAGACTCAGTTGGAAGACACTGGGGAAAGGTTCAATCCGATTTTGTATGTAATAGAAATCCAGCCGATACGTCAAATATTTTATCTTTGTTACTTTCTTTACTAAATGCAATCACTAACAGTTTAAAACAAAAAAAAGTTTAACACCTAAATCATATAAGAAACTCGACTTGAGATCAATGAACTATTCAAACCAAGCAAGACACTCAGGAAAATATTTAAAGTGCCTACTGTGTACCAACCACTGTTTTGGCTCTGGTCAGTGCTACGAGTAAGGACAGTCCCTGCCCTCATGTCAGGGAAGAGAGAAAGAACAAACACAGCTATCTATATCAGCGCTAAGTGCTCTAAGGAAAAATAAAGCACAGGAAGGGGATGGAGAGGGATGAGGACACTATTCCAGACAGAGTGTGCAGGAAGGGCCTCTGTGGGGAGCAGGGTGGACGTGGAAAGCAGCAAGGGCCACAAGCACATCTGGAAAAGAACATTCCGTGCAAAAATGGCCACACAGCACAGCCCTTCCTACTGTATATGACAAGTGTCTTGTGTCTCCCATCTGTCAGGTGAGTCACAGGGTTTCCCCGATCCACGCTTCAGCCATTCAGTGCTTCACATGCCCCCTGGCCAGTGACTGCTTCAGGGATGGGCATGTGGCCAAGTCAGAGGCCTGAGATGTACTGAGACTTGTGCTTGGTCATCTGGATAGAGATACTCAGTCTCTCCAGCGAGACCGGAGACCTGAGAGGATTAGGGGCTAGAACTGCTACCACGAGGCACCTGAGACAAAAATCAACACAAGCCAGGCACAGAGGCTCACACCTGTAATCCCAGCTACTCAGGACACTGAGGCAGGAGGATGAGCCCAGGAGTTCAAGGCTGCAGTGAGTCAAGATTGTGCCACTGCACTCAGCCTGAGCAGCAGAGCAAGGCTTGGAGTCTAAGAAGGAAAAAACAAAAAACCCCAAATCAGGAGGACAGCAGAGTCAGAATGGAGAGGAGATAAGGTTCTGGCGGTCCTCTGGTCGCGGTAAGTCACGCTCTCCAAGTTACAACAACTGTGCATTCCCCTTTGCTTGAAGCGCAGGCTCGAGCTAGATGTTCATTACCTCAGAACATAGGCAGTTATAATCTGAAAACAGAATGCTCCTCCGAGATAAAAAGGCACGGGTCACCACACCTGTTCCGACATCCATGTATTCCCCATGGTTGAAGATCTAGACACTGAGCTTTCATCTGTACTGCGGAATTCATGTTCCTATGCCGGTAACTTACAAGAAGTAGGTGGCAAACAAGCTCGCGGACGGCTCTGTGACAGGGCCGCTACGGGCTAGACAGGAGGATCCCAGGCCCCTACGGCAACCTTTCCAAAGCCGTCTTAATAAACCCACATTCTGAGATGTCTATTCGTGGGAGTACTGAGACTTAAGGACTGCCCTAGAGAAAGGAACAGATAAGCCCATCTACCCTGAATCGATCAAACAGCTTTATCACCAACCCAAATTTCAGCGTGCTTTGTCTATATAACGCTGCTGCTTCTGAGCTTACTGTTATTGAATATTATTAACCTCTTTGGTCAGGCCTCCAACTATTGAATAAATACACATTGTACCTGGGATTCAGAGTTTCAACATCGCTGCACAGACCTTCGTATTCCTGGATGGCAAGCTTACAAGGTCGGTGTATCCAGTCAGTTGGGAAGGTGAATAACC